TTTTCAAGATGGGATTTATAAATATGTTGGGGCTTGCCTCCAGACTGAAGGGTCCAGTCTAGTCCATTTGGCCCACTTTTGGGCCCTTTTTTCAATAATTCAATCCGTTCACATTTTAAGATTTGTTACGTATATTATCTTTGTAAAAATCACATTGATCAAATAACAGAAACTATAATCATTTTTTTATGAACCGTTAATTTTTTGGCCATTTATTTTTTTCAGACAAAAGTGATTCAAATACATAGTATCTATTATCCAATCGACGTGATATTTCACAGGAATAATGTACTCAACAAATTTTAAAATGTGAACGGTTGTTATTATCAAAAAAAAGACCCAAAATAGGCCTAATAGGTCAAACTAAACCGAACTATCTCAAATTTGGAATGGAGACCCTCCGAACCCTTATAGATAAATTTTCTTAAAATGTAACCCTTAGAAAGCCTCCGTTTGGGAAGTGGGTTGGCTTTTTGGCTTTTTGGTTTTTTTGGCTATTTTAGCCTGGGCTTAAAAGTTTGGTTTGGGAAGGGCTTTTTGGCTTTTTGGCTTTTTTGAGTTTTTTTGTGAGAGAAGAATGTAATGATTATGAGTTGGATGTGATGTTTTGTTTGTTATGGCTAAAATAGCCTATTTTGTCTTTTGTGGCTAAAATAGCCAAAAAAGCCCAAGAACCAACTTGCCAAACAGAGGCAATCATCATTCTCCACCAATTGTGTCAACTAAAGCATTTTGATTTTAGGGGAAAATATGTATCAGTAAGATTTAAAAATATATATATATTAATAATTAATAATAAATTTCATATATATTAATAATTAAAATATTAAATTTTTTTTATCAGTTTGTAATAATTTTTTCAGAACCACTAATATATATTCGTCTTTATTTTATTTTAGTACTGTGGTGTTGACGTGGGCACGTGAAGACCTGACACGTTTCGAGTTCATGTGATGTGCGGTTCACCCGCGTAAAGCCATTAGTCTCAAATCAACGTTCAAACTACCTACCAAATAAGAATAGAAAATTATATTCGCACACCAGAAATTTTCGTATCCATCGTTTGTTTTAGAGTAATACCATATGCATTAATTAATATATTAATTGATAATGTGATATAATTTAAGATATTTTTAATATTTGTAATTTGTATAATGAGCGAGATCAATAATAAAATCATAACTAGTGTTAATATACTAATTAGTATACTGATTGATACATGTAATACCACTCTTTGTTTTATTCACATATTAATTTTTTAATAAAAATAATTGTTTAGATATAAACAATTAAAAAAATAATTTGACTTTTGTTCATATTTTTATATCCAAACGATATAATATAAATGATGTGCCCTCAAATTTTTTGTGATATGTAAATAAAATTACCCAATAAGAAAATGTGTAATTCACTCCTCCTGCCCTTTCCTTCTGCTAACAAAAAAAATGAAAGATTTTAATTACATTTTTGTACTCAAAGAATGAAATTTATGTAATTTTAGTCCCTAATATTTAAAAGTATTTCAATTTATTGTCCAACTAAAAAAATTTGACCGTCAGCACTACACAAATCCTGTCTAATAATATACAACAGATGACAGTGAAAGTCATATTGATCTAAATTAAAATAACTTCGATATAAGATAGGAGTCTAATTGATGTTTTGATAATTCAAGGGTAAAATAAAATTTGCTCCAAACTGCCTACCAAACAAAAAGGGGGTAAATTACACTACCTCCCCATCCTTCCGCCAAATTCAAAACAAAAAAAAAAAAATTTGATATTTAGAACAATTTTTTTTCATTTTGAGTGATTTTTTTTTTTTGAGAATTTTTTCACTTTCAAATCTTACTAAACTAGAAGACCCTAAAAAGAGGATATTAGTTTAATGTCCATGAGATTAAAATTTTATAAGATAAATGACATGTAATATTTTTATAATAGTTGAGGTCTCTCAATATTTTCACAGAGAAATTTGTCACAGAGAACTATAACGAATTGAAATTTCCCTAATAATATTAACGAGAGACCTTAACTAGTAAGAAAAAAACATATTGGACCTCTCCTACTACCAAAAGTTGGAGAGGAATGTTTCACTAATTTTCCATCCTAAAAATAATATAAAATTTTGAAAAATAAGATTCATAATGACAAAAAAAAAAAAATCTTTTAGTGATTTTTCACTTTCAAATCTTACTAAACTAGAAGACCCTAAAAAGAGGATATTAGTTTAATGTCCATGATATTAAAATTTTATAAGATAAATGACATGTAATATTTTTATAATAGTTGAGGTCTCTCAATATTTTCACAGAGAAATTTCAGTTTCACAGAGAAATTTGTCACAGAAAACTATAACGAATTGAAATTTCTCTAATAATATTAACGAGAGACCTTAACTAGTAAGAAAAAAACATATTGGACCTCTCCTATTACCAAAGTTGGAGAGGAATGTTTCACTAATTTTCCATCCTAAAAATAATATAAAATTTTGAAAAATAAGATTCATAATGACAAAAAAAAAAAAATCTTTTAGTGATTTTTTTATTTTTTTAATTAATTTTATTTTTTTGTCTTACTTTCCTTTTTGTTTATTTGCTAATATAAATGGAAAATAAATAAATATATTTTTCAAAAAAATTCTAAAAACGAAAAAAGAAACTAATTCTACTTGGGAGCTGAAATTTAAACAGCACATATAGCTTGTCCATCTACTTGGGAGTTGGGAATAATTATGGAACTTGTATATATATTCATCTATTTAGGCTGAAATTCAGGGATCGATGGAGTAAATTACCATAAATAAATAAAGATAGTTTCATAAAATGCCTTAGCACATGGGCTCGTTTTCAATGATTATTTTATGCTTTAATGTTGAATCTCCCCATATCTAGAAGGATTTTGAAAGATTGTTTTTTAATGAGCCCATTGTTTTTTTAAAATTTTAAATTTTAAATTTGCGGACAGAAAATAAAAGAAAAAAGAAAGTGAATAAAATAGGAATTAGCTTTTATTTTTTCACAAATATCTTTTATTTGCTTTTCTTTTCATAAATTTTAAAATCCGAATACAACATGAGTTAGTCTCTTAACAATATGGAGTATAGCATGGAATTTATTTTGTTCCATATTTTACTGTTTAAGCATTCATTTTACCCAAGTTCCAAAAATAATAGACATCCACAAACCCTGCTGTCCTTATTTTTATTTTTTGATAAATCAAAAACTTCATTGCCAACACACTCTTTTCTTTTTATAGGTAGCCAAAAAAATACATAGAATAAAAAATACATCTGGTTGGAATGGTTGGTGCTCTAATATTATATTTGGATCTCAAATTTGTTGAGAAAATAAAATTAGTATTTTCATTTTTTTTTTATCAGAATCAAACCAAAAAATAGAGATTTACTTAACAATATCTATTCATTTTCTTTTCATTCTTAACCTAATCAAACAAAATTTAAGAGTTTTACTTCTCTTAATCTATTTTCTTTCTTAATTTTTTTTAACAAATCAAAAAAAAAATAAATGTCAATTTCACAAAAACTATTTTAATTTATTTTAAATTGTCTATATTTTTTTAATCGATGCAATGTTTTCATTATCATATCCTCTAGATCTTCTGACATTTTGTGGATAAATAAATGAAGCATTACTACAATGTCTCAATAGTGGCCTACATCTGTGCAGGTGGCTATCCAGGTGTCGCAATCCTGATAGGTACCTTCTGCCTTTCAACATACTACCTCATATCATTGATGATAAATAACAAATAATTGGTGTAATAGTTTTTGTAATATCTTAATGCAATAAAAATATATTTTATATTACTACTTATTTGAAAAATGATTATTTTAAAAAAAAATTAATTTTTTATAAAAAGACATATGAAAAGATTAAAAAATAATAATAATAATAAAAAAAAAAATAATATGACAACTTAACAGTATTCTTTTAGAAATTGACAATTCTATTTACACACTACCAAACATCTCAATGCACCCACATTTTCAATTCCTTGATTTCTTCTCAATTTACACCAACAATTTTCAAAAAATCCTAAATTGCTCCCATTTTCTTTAACTCTCTATCCTAAACCCTAACCCTCAACAACCATCCATTACCACCACTTCTACCACCGCCATCGCTCCTCACCTTCGCTACCTCTCCAACCCCATCGCCACTTAGGGCTAGTTTGGCATGTACTAAATAAATTAAAAAGTCAAAAAGTCACTATCTTATTTAAGTCACATCATCTTATTTAAATCACATCACCTCTCTAACACATCACATCAAACTCAACCCAAACCCAACCCAAACCCACCAATAAGTCAAAAAGTGCACTTTTTTAGGACATCCCAAACCAACCCTTACTACCATCGCACCCCCTCTTCTTCTTCTTCTTCTTCTTTCTAAACCCTAGATTTGAAAACCCTAGTTCTAGGCTGTGAGATGGTACCGATAGCCATTTCCAATGGTGAGGAAGCGAGTTTGTAGCGGTGGCTGAGAGTGTAGCACCTGTTGTAGACGAAGAAGAAGAGAGGCAAAAAAAGACATGAAAAAAACGTGAGAGAGAGAGAAAGAGAGAGATGTAAATAAGAGAGAAGAGACGAACCATGACAGAGTTGGCAAGGCGACAGTTGCCAAAGTCGAGGGCTAAGGAGGCTACGATCGCCGAAGTCGAAGGCTGGAAATACCATTAAGGTGAGTGCTACTGATAGATATTGAATAAATGAGTGGTGTGTAAATAGAATTACCCTCTGAAAATACATGCATATTTAAAGCAATTAAACTTTCTACCTTAATTCTTACATAATTTCAACAATACCACATTAATTTCAATCATCAAATCCTAAAAAATTGAAAAGATAGAGAAGCTTTCAGTAGCTCTCACCTTAATGGCATTGGCTGCTCCATCCAACTGCCACTCAAGTTTCAACAGCATTGTAAAAACACTTTTCATTCTTTTTCAAACTCAACTTTATAAAGCAACAAGTTGATGTAACAAAAGAATCAACAACGCTTTTAAGATTAGAATAGTATACATCAAATCAATGCCTTCAAAATTAAATTCACAATCAATTTACATCCTCCTCTTTTCTTTCCTTCAAACTTATCCTCACATCCTGATGTGTTCTTCAACAACATCGTAAGATGCCCCAACAGCTTTTGTCTAAATTCTTTGCGATGTTGGCTATAATTCATATTTTACAATAATATCAGGTGTCAGTGGGAGGGTGAGGATTCAACAGCATTGTAAGATCACAAAAAGGGAAAAAGGACGAGGTTTTATTTCATTTCATGTACAATCAGGGACTATGCAGGGACCACCTGTGGTTCGAGGGGTGATGACTCATCAGTTTCTGCACTTACACCCCCCACGGTCTGTCCACCCTTCTCACCACTCTCTTGGAACCCTAGCTTAAATCTCTCATAATTTGTCATCTCACTTGATTTGAATGGCCTCTCACCCAGAACTCGGAGCAAATCATCTTGGTGAAGGACTTCTTTTTCAAGCAACAGTTCGGCAATCTGTGCCACTTGTTCTCTGTGTTCCTCTATCAATTGGATTGTGTGAATGTATGCCTTGGCTACCCACTCTCGCACTTCACCATCAATAATTGCCCCGGTCTTGTTGCTGTAAGGCTTGCTCATCTCAAATCCATCATCCCTTGGGGGGAAAGAGAGGAGACCCACCTTCTCACTAAACCCGTACACTGCTACTTGGGCATATGTCATTTTTGTCACTTTCTCCAAGTCATTTTGGGCTCCCGTTGAAATTTTCCCCAACAAAACCTACATCCAAAGAATTTTCCGGAACATCATTATAACCAAACAGCAGAGTTGACAAAACAAATACATTTCCAGCAATTGGCATGCCTAAAAGAAAAGGCAAAAACTCACTTTGTACTTTTTCATCCATCATTGCCAGCGAAATGAGAGATTGAGTGGGAAACATTCAAGTTACCTGTTCAGCTGCCCGACCACCAAGGGTCATACAAGTCATGTCAAAAAGCTGCTCCTTTGTCATAAGAAGGTTTTCATTAGGAACATATTGTGCAAACCCAAGCGCTGCAGTACCACGAGGAACTATGGTAACTTTCAACAAGGGTTCTGCGTGTTCTAAAAACCAGCCGGCAACAGCATGACCGGATTCGTGGTAAGCTACAGTTCGACGTTCAAGCTTGCTTATCACCTGCTTACAACAAGAATTAAAAGGGTTCTATAACTACTTTGAAAAAGAACGAAAGAAATAAAGAAAATGTCCATGCAAAATGACATTCACATCAATGGTGACGTCTTGTTCCATTTATGATGACAGAATAAGGGGAAGAATGGAGAAATAAGAAGCACAGAAGAACATATGCCTACTTGTATTTCATAGAAACAAATCCACTCACCCAATAAATAAAGAAATAGACAGTAATATTTTTATGTTAATAAATATAAACATTTACTTCTGCACATTTCTGTTTTGATATCTAACTTATCTGTACATTCACCAGGCATGGTTTCTTGTACAACAAGTCACTTTGCGAGGTAAAAGCTTTGTTTAAGAGTTGAACAAAACAGAAAGCTTTCTATAATCCATTGAGAGAGAGAGAGAGAAATAAAACAAAACCAAATAGTCGATTGATTTCGCATTTCTAGGAAAACTGATAACACGAAGTAAAGTGAACATGCAATGCATACAAGAATGGTTTACCTTGTTCTTCTTCTCCAGACCACCAATGATCCTATCTATAGCTGCCTCAAAATGTTCCATTGTGACCTGTGTTTCTTCACACCTCGCAGCAATTAAAGCACCCTCATTACAAACATTTGCAATATCTGCTCCTGCAAATCCAGGAGTCAGGGCTGCAAGTCTCTGAGAGTAATATGATGGTTGATTGTCAAGTTTGATCTTCTTCAAATAGATTTGAAATATCTGCTCACGGCCTCTGATATCAGGTTTATCAATGCTAATTTGTCGATCAAATCGACCAGGCCTTAACAGGGCTTTGTCCAAAATATCAGGCCTATTGGTGCCAGCAAGGACAACTACTCCAGAAGTTGTTCCAAATCCATCCATTTCAACAAGCAACTGGTTTAGAGTACTTTCACGCTCATCGTTGGTGCCTGAGAAGCCCCCACGTCCCCTGGCTCGACCAATCGCGTCTATTTCATCAATAAATATAATACTAGGCGCACACTGTCGTGCTTCTTGAAACAAGTTTCTCACCCTAGATGGTCCAACACCAACAAACATCTCCATGAAATCTGAACCAGCTATGGAAAGGAAAGGAACGCCAGATTCCCCAGCCGTTGCTTTGGCCAAAAGTGTTTTACCGGTGCCTGGAGGACCTACCAAAAGAGCACCTTTTGGAATTTTTGCCCCCAATTCCTCATATTTTTTGGGGTTTTTGAGGAAATGCACGAACTCCATGATTTCCTGTTTTGCTTCATCACAGCCAGCAACATCTTTGAAATAGATCTGGATGAACAAAAAATACAAGGGCAAATTTTGTTAATATTCTTTTTGTACAGTGACAAAGTGCTAGGAGAATAGCTTAAAATACAATTAACAAGGATAACTTAGAACCAACATTCTTGATCAGGAAAAAGATATCTAACCTTGTTTTTCGTATTCTTATCTACTTTTGTCACGTGGGCTTTTCCAATGTTGAATATTCCACGGGCACCCTTTCCACCACTACCTCCAACACCAAGTCCACCTTGCATTCTCCGCCCCATGTACCAAAGGCTTCCCAAAAGCAAGAGTGTCGGTGCAAATTTCATCAACTCTTGGTACCAAACCATTTCAGAAGTATATGTAACAGAAACATAATCATGAGGGTCTATTCCTAATGCTTCCTGGGCTTCCTCCAACTTCTCTTCAAAAGATTCAACACTTCCAATATTGAAATAATACTTGTACTGGCTCTTGTTCCCACTAGCAGGGATACCATTAGCAGGCCCTTCAACAAATGATCCCTCAACAACATCATCTCTTGTTTGATTGCGTGGTGAGCTCCTAACATACACTTTTGCAACTGATTTATTTGAAACAACTACGTGATCCACTAAACCTGGTTCCAGAAGCTTGTTTTTGAACTCTTGGAAACTAATCTGCAAAAAATCATATTCCTCAGTTTAAGGTCCAAAAAGATGACACGAAAATCTTAATTACATTTGAATTGCACACAAGCAGAAGAAACATAATTCTCAATTAGGTAAACAATGTCCCTAAGAAATAGTTAGCATCCAATGACTTGGAAATCCAATGAAGGATGAAACCAGTGCACCATCAGAACATGTCAATAAATAAAAAATTACAAATAGGGTCAATGAAAAAATTAATCAGAATTATCACCATCTCCTATGGTGCTTCATCCTGCATGTTATCCACAACCCATGGTAACCATGTAGTCATCACCGAGGGAAGTTTCTAGTCTATGAGGTCCAGGGTGGCAATAAACTTACACTCTCCTGTATCCAATAAAAGATTTGTTGCTCAATATATCACAATTAGTTATCATGATATTTTTGTTTTGACAGAGAAGTTTCTGAACTGTTTAAAGATCTAAGATGCTATAATCATAGATATACTTCTCCTACCATATTTTAGTCATAGATGAATTTTTCAGTCATTTCTAAAACATCCCATGGTGTAAACTTTCTGCAAACAATACAACTTAAGTAATGAAATTATAACATGGGTTTATTTAGAGATAAGACCATGGAGAGACTTTAGCAAGGTACCCGAAAGCAAACATGCCAATTTTTCAAACAAATCATCTGATAAAAATAGGAAAATTGCGGAGGAAGTTGATTGTTGAATAGGAATAAGATCAGTAAAGTCATAATGAATTTTACGTGTGCTGTGCACATGTCAAACATAAGACTGAGATTAAAAAGAAACTACAAAGAAACACAAAGGCAAGCAATGCATATGGCATATAAATGTTTTAAGAAAGATTATGCATAAAGAAGAAACTCAGTCGGGATAAGGATAATGCTGTAGATGAGTAGTAACATAAAAAATGATAAACTAGAGATAGCACCCCAATTCAGAATAACAAAAGAGAAATTGATCCAAGATGGTTGGGGAATGCTCAATTGAAAACCAATAAACTCACAACCAAGAAGTTAAAAGTCAAATAATTCAAGTTCACCAAAATGATTGTTGATAGATGAAGTGAAAGAGAAAATAATCGCACAACCACCAACAATGTACAGTATGATAGAACTTCATTTCAAGAAGGTTCTCACTCTATTATGGATCTTGTATTACACCTTAGTCCGCCATCAAAGGAAATGCATTACAATTTGGATGCTACACTAGTAAGGAAAGACATTATTGGCACAATATTAAACATCACCAAACCAACGAGTTTCAAAGAAAGTTCACAAATTTTTTTTTTTTTTTGGGATCAGCAGCAAAGTAAAACGATGGCATATGACCCTTTATCCCATATCAACTCAGCATCCCCAAACTTGTCATTGAGATCCTTGCATTTCTTTCGAACCATAAAAACCCAAAAAATTGCAAATACGACACATCGCCACAGCACTTTTGCTCTCTTCTTCAATCCGAAACCTCAAAATTCAATAATAAGGATTGTTTTGAGAACTAGCTATTTTAGTTGAATTTTTTACTTTTTATGAACAGACGTGCAAAAAAGTAGAGAGAAGAATTGACTATTCGGTAGTGTTTTGGCTTTTTGGCTATTTTAGGTGGTTACCAAACTTGGCCTAAGCCTTTGTGCATACTTCCCTGGGGCCACCCAATGTGTAAGATAAAGAAAACAAACATTCTTTAGACGATGTAAGAAATGATGATCCCGAGATTCCCCATTTCCTTTACACAAATTGCATCATTGAGGACTAAGGTAGCGATTAGGCCTCCCTGCTTGATAAGCCTAATTTTCATTCGTTTCCATTTCGTAAAGGAGTTTGGAAAGCTTTTGTGCCTCAAAAAAGTGAACTAACTTTATGTGGTCCTCGGTTCAAACAGTGAAGATCTTTAAACAGTGTTTTTTTCCTTTTCCTCATTTGGTTATTGCTTAGGCTTTTTGACTTTAAAAAAAAATAAATGTGCAAAAAAGTAGAGAGGTGATGTGACAACTTGTAGCAAATAAGTCAATAAACAGCTTCATTAGGTGGTTGCCAAACCACCTCTTAGTATCTTGATTTGGCAAACTAACTACAAAAATGAAAAGAAGAAATTTCACAATATATATCAATGGACAAAGCACTTGACTATGCAACTCAACAATATATCCCACTGAGTACTGACTATGATTATAAAAGCCTTGTACAATAAAAGCAACTAAACCAAGTCATTGAAACATATTCAAACATAAAACTTACCTGTTGTTGTTCATGAGAACCAAAAGAAAATGATGAAAGAAACAGCCCAATCATTAATATAGGGGTGATTAGATTTTGAAATTGCTTCATGAAAGTTTGCTGAAAATGTTCATGATCTTCCGACTTTGCATCCTCTGAAAAAAAAATAAAAAAATGAAAAAGATGTCAGATGTGTATTCAGTGAGGGAAACATTTAAACATACATTCAGTATAAAACTTATATATTATTATGTCTGAAAGAGTAAAAGAGCACACTTGTTCAACATGATAGAACCTCTTCACTAACTCATAGTCCAAATCTCCTTTTCATCTAAACATCTAATTAATAAACCAGCAGGAACATTTTAGGGGATTTACCATCAAACTAAAATATGAAGCATTGAACCATGAACAGCATGACAACACCCTAATACACACCTAAACCATACTAAGCAGTACACGAACGACATGAGAAGGGAGGACCAAAAATTAACCACATTTTCCACTGACATACACAGCATCCCATAGTATAAGACACTTTCCACCTAACAACTATAAAATACCACTTCCCCATATGCATGAATTGGAAGAATTGGGCAATAACAATATCTACAATCACAGTTTGGCACTACAATGCCCAGTAAGTTTCTAGTTGAAGAATTTGTAGCGGCATTCTCCTAAAGATCAACAGTCAGTACCCACACATACATCTATATGAAGAAATGAACAACTTAGACAGGGAAATCAAGTCCACCCATTAGTATAGGTAATGCCATCTATCAGATTATAGCCCATTAATATGGTTAATTGATAAAATTAAAAATAAAAATAAGTAAAAATAAAAAATAACATGCGTAATTTTCTCTCTTATTAGTAGCATAATTAAATTTTATCTCAAGATTTTATTCTTCCTCCATGATCTGTTTATTATTGATGATATTCATACTCGTAGGTTTTCGCTAACCTACTTCATTGTTTTTCAATTTTCAGCAGGCCACTAATGTCACATTATGTCAATGGAAATATTTCTTTTTTCTATTTTCTTTTTCCAATTTCAATTACAATTGTTTTATAAAGAACTGTGTAGTTTTAAATCCAACTTCATGACCAATTTCTGCTGCCTCTGATGCCATGTTCAGAGCCATACAGAATTGCCAACTATTGACAAATTGGGACTAGCAATCAAACATCACTCTTGATCATCAACTACCTACCATTCTACCCCAATTAAAATTTTCAACCTTCACCACCTATGAAGCATGGATACAAAATATGGGTACAATACAATATGGATACATTGATAAGAAAAATTTTAAAATTGTAGGATATGGATGCATTAAGAATACAAAGATATATAACTGTATATATCATGTATGTATCGATATAAAAAATTAATTTTGATATAATAATTTGTACAAACTATTTGTCTTCAATTATCTATCAAACATTTTCAATTTTAAATTTATAATGTATCCACATGAAAAAGATTACAGTTGCGTCATGTGGACGTGAACTTCGACCTAATTTAACATGTTTTAATCTCACCATTTTCCAATTTGTATTGGAGTATGCAAAGTATTTGAAATTATTCTTCGCATTAATTCTAAATACATTAATCTGATTCTATGCCAGATCTTAATTTCAAGAAAAGTCAAATAGTTAAATTATCCAAAAAGTATATGATACCAATTCTAAATTAAAGAAAATTAAATGTTAATTGTAGACACATTTAGAAAGTATCAACTACGTATTTGCGAGTATCCAAAGAGTATTGGTATCCAATTCGTGTATGATATAGACACAACTCGCTAGTAGAAGTATCCATGCTTTATAGTTTTAGCACACATTAAGATTGTCGTGACCCAATGTGGTTTTGGTTTTTTGCGTTTTAGAACACATTAAGATTGTCTTACCCCGATGTGGTTTTGGTTTTTTGCATTGAGAGTCTAACAAGAAATCAATGCATTGAAAGATGGTAAATCTGGCAATCATGGATAAACATATGATTTCGCCACAGGCCCACAACCAAAAGACATTAACAAGTCTTCCTATATCTTTTTTTACCCTTTGACAACCTTTCAATATAGAAAAATTAATAAACTCAAGGTGTTGATTACACGTTTCAAGGAGTCCCAATTGCAATGGACGTAATGGTACCCTTTTCCTTAGTTAGACTTAAATAATCATAAGTAAATGTGAAGTAGTGATGAAATAAGATCCAATGTAATTTTTGGTTGGGAAAAGTTGGTGTACTATATACTTCACGAAAAAAGGAAAGAAAAAAAAAACAGATTTTAAAAAGCTGGATTTTCTTTAATTAAGTTGTATGGTTAGAAGTTTTTGTTCTTCCGTAGTTTTAAGCAGCTTCTCACCTACTTCTTGATGTAGTGACTGCATATAGGCCATGTGTCAATAGATGACCGCACGTAAAGTCATGTATCACTAGGTTGTTATTGACTGGTTGCATGTTTGCCACTTGTCATATTCTTGTTATTTTTGTAGTTTTTTCTATTCTAAGGTAATCCTGACTAACCTCCTTAGCTACTTATATATAGGGTTGTAATCACTTTTTTGTAAAGATAGTTAGATGAATTGAAATTTCAGATTTTGGTATTTGTTGTAACCTAACTTTGCTACTTCTCAGGATTTGGTTTTGAGCACCATTGCTTGCGGAATTATAGTCTTGCTTGCAAGATTTTGCATAAATCAATCCTGAAGACTACTTTTTGCATAGTTTGGCCTTGATCCAAGTGCTATTCAGGTCCACCTTCAATTGTAATTGTAGGAACCTCCAACCAAACTACATCAAGTAGAAGCCTTCATAAGCCCCTAAGGTCAAATGGAAGCTCTACAGAACGTAAAGCACTTGATATGTGTCCCACGGATAAAAATAAGCCTGCAGTTATACCAACACTGTTTTGGTTATAACATGTGAATACAAAGTTTATGGCACTCATCTTTCTACGGATTAAGGAATGTAATATGGTATAACATTTCTTAAACAAAATGGGCGTATTGGACAAAAGATTAAGGGCTGGTTTGGCTTATCCTATATAAGCCAAAAAGTCAAAAAGTTACTCCAAAATCCAAAAAGATATCACTATTCACCAAAAAAAAAAAATTAAAAAATTAATTTTCTTCAAAATCAGTATTCACCGAATTGATGTGTGTGCAGCTGCTGTGTGCGGCAGTGGAGAAAAAAGAAATGATTGGGTGTGGTTTTTACACACACCGTTGTTCGTCTCATGGGGGTCATCACGGGTCCCGTTTTGATAATCTGAACCGTTGAATGTGTAGAATCATCGAGTACTATATGTCTGCAAAAAATCATATTGATCGGATATCGATAACTATATGATCAAATCAGTTATGTACAACAAATGGATGGTGTTATAATTAATGATTGAAAAATAAATAAATCTAATCAGATAGCTACCAATATCCGATTAACGTGATTTTTTACAGGTACCTAGTGTTCGACGAGTTACACACACTGAACGGTTCAGATTATTAAAATGGGATCCGTGATGACCCCCACGGGCCAAACAAAACCGTCCAGTGCTTTGTACAAAAATTAGCCAATAATTTCCAACTCCAATTCACTCCAGCCGGTTGTACGGCTGGGGCCCACCCCTCTCTAATCATCTCTTAAACACTTTTTTTATACAATTTTTTAATACACATTTTTCCATAAAAAGTCAAAAAGTTAACCCAAACCTCCATATTTTTTTCTCAACTTTTTTAGTCCAAAAAGACAAAGTACACTTTTTTAGGACACCCCAAACCAGCCCTAAGTACTTGTACTCCAAAAAGATAAAACACAATATCCCCAAGTGCCAATAGTCTGCAGCCATTTTATATAAATTGTTGTCATCTCCTTGGTGTTTAACACTCCATTATTCTTGGCATTAAGTAATGCCAACCTAGAAGGTACGTTCGACCATTAACAGTTGTGTGCATTCACAAGGACCCAGAAACCCATAGGAAAAGTACACTTGAGGTACAAAACATATTATAAAGTACCGAGGCTCTTGTAGACAACGTTTAAAACATGCAACCCATTGGTCAGGAACAAAATCAAAGCCCCTCCATCATTCAAAATAAAAGGGAAACAAAATAATTGGGACTCAACACCCATGAGCTCCTAAATAAAACAAACTAAAATCAACAAACAACATAATTAAAAATCCAACACATTGAGAAGTTAGATTTGAGGGAAAAGTGTGCCAACAAATCCTACTTTCCATCAAAAGGACAACAAAGTCATATAAAGTTTTTATAAGACAACATAGTCCTACTTTTGATAATTTTTTCCAGGTAAGTTCAAAACTCCACTAATCATCTAGTTTGTTCCAACCTTTCCCTTTCTCATTAAAATACATAAAATGTCCTTTACTACAAAGATATTGTAAGTTTATAATTGGTTTTCAACCAACTCGAAAAACTAAATAAAAGGGTATAGCATGATACAAACCCATTATTTGAATATTCCATTCTCATACTCTTTTATTAGTTGTATTAGAATAGGAAAACATGGTATGTATGTAGTTCATTTCATGAGAAACACATTCCATAATGTTAAAGTTTCAAATTATGTAATTAAATTTGAAACTTTCAATGACTATTAATCTTATTCACACCTTGAAAACCAAAATGGACTATCATATTTTATTAAAAATCAATCAACCTTATTATCATCTGTGGTCTGCATAGTAAATTCTAGATGGAAATTGAGTAGTTCTACCACATGATGGCAAATTAATATTTTTAAGTGTAAAACAGGAGAAATAGAAAAGATAGAAAGTATAGAACTTATATGGAGTGAAACTTAAAATAGGATATCTTGTCCAAATAAATCTTTCTAGGACAGACACTTTGTTTCAATCACTTGTTTGGATTACCAAATATGAGAGAAATGGGAAGAAATGAGAGAAACACATTTCTCTCATAACCTTTATTTTCAATCTCTCCAAAAGTGAAGAGAAGTGGAGAGAAATGAAACCAACCAAATGTTATTTTGTTACAATACCAAAACTACCCTTTTAGATATAGAACAAATAAAAGACTAACACCTATAAAAGTTTAATTTGGTAAATCATTTCTTTTCTTTTCTTTATATAGCTTAACCAAACAAGATATGAGAGAAATCAATATCATTTTATTTCTTTTTTCTCTTATCTATCCAAACAAAACGGGAAAAAAAATAAAAAATAAAAAATCACAATCTTTTCTTTTCCATTCTTCTCTCTTATAACTTACTTAATCATTTCTTTTCTTTTCTCTCCTAAGTTACCAAACATAGTGGGCATCTCCAATCCTTACCCAAATGTTGACTCATACTTAAATTTAAGTATGACACCCTAAACCCTTCTCCACTCTTCGACTTAAACTCATACCAGATTGAGTTTTACTTACTCAAATTAATACCCAAATGAAGGGAGACGGAAATGTCCAAAGGCTATTGCTACATTTATTTACTAAATTGTCATTCTTGAGATATGATAGAAATTTCAAAAAAGAGTCTGAATAAAAATTGGTGTTTGCCATTGGAGTGCTTCACATCAAATGAAGCATTTACTCAATTAAAATTCGAGTAATGATTGGAGATGGCCTTAGTTATTCTAACACTGCAAAAGTAGGACTGATGAGTGTTTTTTTTCCTACAATCTCTTTCCCATTTTTTCTTGACAGCCAAATGGAAGATTTATTCAGCAGCATTGCCATCAATGACAAGAATGAATCCACAATTCACATATAATAAATTGTAAATAAAAAGTAACTAACTCACCTTTCGACTCCGCTTTTTGCTCATCCCCTTTTGGTGCTTCCTTCTTATTATTTGGGTAGAAATTCTCATAATCTACAAATAAAAGACCCATAAAAAAACAAAAACACAAAAAAATCGGTCGGCTGTCCATAAAACCCATTAAACAAAGAGAGAATAAACAGAGTAGAAATTTTTACCCTTCTTTTTGGGAGCTTCACTTGAGAAAAATCTTTGAATCCTCGGGTTTGCAAGCACGTAATTCAAATCAGATAAACTATACGACTTGGATGCAAACTCTTTATTAGCCCCTATGGAAGCTAAACACCCCCTGAAAAACCCTAATTTCTCATCAAATCGGCTAATATATGAATCTACATGCGAATCTCGAAGTAATCCACCATTCACCAAAGCAGATCTCCCACCATTACCACCACTTACCACATACTGCCACAAACGAAACAACAATTGATATAATCATAAAACCCTAAATAACATATACATATCTGTGTGTGTGTGTGTGTGTGTGTGTGTGTGTGTATATATATATATATAGAGGGAGAGAGAGAGAGAGAGAGAGAGAGAGCTTACTCTTGGACGAGATGATCGCGAGAAAGAACGCCCAATCCTCGAAAAGATCATTCTTTGGCGAACTAAACGAACTTTTGATTGAAGATCGTGTTGTTGGAAAGTGTGTTTGAAAACAAAAATGAAAATGGAATGTGATTAGGAATTGGTTTCCTAGGTTGGATTGAAGCTAAGAGATGTTCTGAGGCGGACAAAACAAAACGAACCCATCAATATATCTGAAAATTTTAAAAACTTGTTTGGTGGACTTTGGATATTTGTTGGCTGCTGAATTTCTGCGCAATGATAGAGGCAAAATAAAATAAATAAATATCCCTCCTTTTAACAAAGGATATCATTACAGCCATCCTTTTGCATTAATTTTTTATTTTTATTTTTATTTTTATTTTTTGTCTTTATGGGCGGAAGCCCAAAGGAAATTACAAAACAGCCCTACGCAAGGATCTAAGGCCCCGTTTATTTTGGGAGATAGAATGGAGAGAATTGATAGTGAGGAAATTATTAGTGAAAAATTATTAAATTATTTTTATATAAAATAATAAAATAAATAAAAAATATAAAAATTTAACATTAATATTTTTTAAAAAATTCTCAATATATAAAAAATAAAAAAATTTCTAATCTCTTCACTATTTTTCTAATATCATTTCTACCTCCTCTTAACCAATCCCCCTTTCTCCTCCTTACTAGTCCCAAGGAATTACTAGTCCTCTCTCTATCTCAAAACAAACACCTCATTCTCAATCTCCTCCTCACTATCAAACTCAATCCCCTTTCTATAACCCCAAACAAATGGGGCCCAACATCACTAGATAACAAAGGAACCATTGTAGGTGGAGGCACTCGAAACCTTGGAGGGGTCGTTTGGGAAGTGGGTTGGTTTTTTATTTTTTGATTTTTTTGACTATTTTAGTTTAGGTTAAAAAGTTTGGTTTAGGAAATTTTTTTTGACTTTTTGATTTTTTTTGTGAGAGAAGAGTAATGATTATGAATTGGATGTGATGTTTTATTTTTTGTGACTAAAATAACCCATTTTGAGAAGATAGTAAAAAGTGACTTTTCGACTTTTAATCAAGCTTTTGGCTTTTTTAAACAAATGATTTGAGAAGTTGGTAAAAAATGACTTTTGATTTTTTTATTAATATTTGTTTATGATGTTAAATCATAATAAAATGACCAAACTACCCCCATTTAGGCCTCGTTTGGGAACAGGCTAATTTAGTAACTTTTTGGCTAATTGGCTAAAAAGGTAAGCAAAAAAAACTTGTATGTTTGGGATGACTTTTTGAGTAATTACGAAAAACTGTGCAAAAAGTAGAGAGAAGCCGTAATTGTTGACTTTTTGGTATGACTAATTGGCTAATTGGCTAATTTAGTAACTTTTTGATTAATTGGCTAAAAAGGTAGCATCCCAAACAAGGCCTTAGTTTAAAATATTTACAACATCACCCATGTAACACATTTTGACCCATGAGGGATAGAATTTTAATTTCACCATTAGCTAAAAACTAACTTTCCAAATGAAAAAAAAATTCAAAAAGGACAACTTTTGACTTTTGCTACAAATCAAAAAAAGTGGCTAAAAGCCAACTTTCCAAAACAAACATTTGTCTTTTGTAACTAAAATAGCCAAAAAAAAAAACCCCAAATAACTCTTCCCAAATGAAGCCAGAGCATCCTTATTAGTTTATCTAAATTTTATCTTAAAATATTATTACAAAATTTATTATCTATTTTAGAAATTATTTTTTTATTTATTTCTCTCAACAAACTTCTTATTCTTTCTCTATTTTATTAAAATAATATTTTTAATTATTTTTATAATTAAATATTTTTTTAATAATAAAATAATAAAAACAAAGTAGCACAACAGTATTACATAAGGAAGTAGTAGCAAAGGAAAAGTGGTCAGTCGTCTGGGTGGTCAACTACTCGGACGACTGAATAGTCGACCAATCAAGTTAATTTTGGACATTTTTCAGGACTCACGGAACATCCGGAGGGACGTTCGGGGGGACATCCTTTGCGCCTATAAAATAAGAATTTATCAGATATGACTGTAGCAATACTTATATTTGGGAGATTAAATAGGGGAACTGCTGGGGATGTGTTTTAACAGAAAAATTCCTTATTTTAAGTAAGGAAGGAATATAAGGGAGGTCAGTCGTCTGGGTGGTCAACTGCTCGGACGACTGAATAGTCGACCAATCAAGTTAATTTTGGACATTTTTCAGGACTCACGGGACATCCGGAGGGACGTTCGGGGGGACATCCTTTGCGCCTATAAAATAAGAATTTATCAGATATGACTGTAGCAATACTTATATTTGGGAGATTAAATAGGGGAACTGCTGGGGATGTGTTTTAACAGAAAAATTCCTTATTTTAAGTAAGGAAGGAATATAAGGGAAGAGATGGGGATCTCTTAGCCATCCAATCAGCATAACTGTTGGCCTTATGCCAAACAACTTCAAGTTGGCTAGGTTAGTCTTTAGCTAGCATTTCTTGAATGGTTTGACAAAGATTGAAATTGGGATCAGTTGAGGTAATAGGGATAGCACCAATAGCTTCTAAAGAATCAGACTCAACAATGACTATGAAAATCTTCAATCCATGCTAAACGAAACCCAAACCAAATAGCCCATGACACTGCAGCAACATCTGTTATCTCACTGTCGGAATCCTACAATCCATTCCCCTTGCTCAAACCTAAGAATGCCCCCTACACCAACTGGCCCAATTTGTCCAAGCACTAAACCATTAGTGTTCATCTTAACCCAGTTAGGAAGGGGTGGAGTCCAACTGACAACAAAGGATTCCCCATGCCTCCTAGTAGTTCCTAATGCTGTATTTGGTTGGGAGATTTGGGAAGGTATTTGGAAAAGAAAAGAGAAAAGATATGTGAAATTATGTAAAATATAAGTATATTTTATTCCTATTTCACCTATCTTTTTCATTTTCCTTTTCAAATCCCTCCTCAAATCCTCCAACCAAACACAATATAAGGCTTTCGATTTGGTCACTTCCTCTACATTTCCCTAATAACTACAACAGAACAATAAAGAGGAAATAAAACAAGAATCATAGAGCTGCTTCTTGTGCCAATACCATATAGAGAAGAGCGTGCCCATAAAGGTAATAGCCCACTGATCACCAAACAGATCATGCCAAGGAAGGGATTTGAGATTTGCATCTACCCATTTAATTAGAGGTGGGGAATAGAAAAAGATCCAATAAGGATGAATAGGACTTTGCCATACCTTCTTGGGGAGATTGCAATCACAAAGGGCATTGAACGTAGTTTCAGAGTGCATACTACACAATGAACATTCAACAATAGTGCTAATGTTTCTACAAAGCTTCATCCCATTAGTTAACACCTGATCTTGTCTTACAATCCAAGCGAAATGTTTTCACTTGTTAGGGGTAGCGTAATTTCAAATAAGAAAAACTCGTAATTTAATAGAGATATGTGGTTAAGGTTTGGTTCCAGTAGCAAATATGTAGTGAAATGTGAGAATGAATGTGGTATATAATATTTATCTTGTAATGGTTTATAGGACACCACATCTTACACCTATTTAAATCCAGTCCACAATTCATTAGCCACTAACTTATTGCTACAACATAAAATCCCAATCCACTTTTATCACCAACTTTGTCAATGTCAAATTTACAGTCCACAATTCATTAGCCACTGACTTATTACTGCAACACAAAATCCCAATCCACTTTTATCACCAACTTTGTCAATGTCAAAATCAAAATTGTTGCCCTCACCTAAAAATTATTGGCTCCAAACATTATGGTTCGTTGTGGACATTGATAATTAGTACTTGAAGGATGAGATTCCATGCTAAGCAGTTGACAATTGATATTTTTAGATGCTATTGACGATGTCCAAAATTGATTGTTATTAACCGAGGTATCTGATGCAGAGTGTTTGATCATAGAGTTTCTGAAACTCATGACAACAGGGCAAAGGGTAAAAGTACTAGTAGAGGCAAAATGACACATGCTCGGAATTCAATTGAGACATGGAAAATGGCATCACGATCAATGCCCATTGCTTTGCAATGTTATACGATGGATTTCAACCAATTTTCACTATTTAGGCCTCTAATCATGTATTTTTGCCCTTTTTGAAAATATTTGTTTTGCTAATTACTTGGTCTTGGAGAATCCCTTTGAGACTAGGTTTTTTCCAAAATATTTAATTTTTATTTTAGTTTCCATATTTGAATCTTTCTATTTTTGGTTGTCTTTGATTTAGGCTTGACTAGCAAGCTTTACATTTCCCTAGCTTATTTCCTACTATAATTATGGTTAGCTCCTCCATAAATAAGAGCTCCAAGTCTTAGGGTAAATCAGTTTAATATTGAAAATTAAATTATACAAGAGAGAGTATCTCATTTTCTATCAAATTCGTAGTTGTTCTTTGTGTTGAGTATTCATCTCATTATCTTTCCTGCATCAGTATCACCTCTACCTTACAACTCATAATACAATGTGAATATTGGGAATAAAATAGTTATGGTTGGTTGAAGAATTTTATTGATAAAAAGAATAACTTTTTGAGGGTAAATTTGGTATTTAAATAAAAAATTGTTAATATCATTAAATTCTTTTAGTCAACCTAACGATTAAGTAATAAGAGAGGTTATTTGTTTTACGATTTTGTAACTTTAAGAGTTGAAATATATTTTTCATAGCTTATGAGAGTCAAATGTAATTTTCATAAACCTCAACGTGTATTGCAATTTGTTCTAAAAATTATATATCAAATAGTAAAAGTTATTTAGCATTTCACAATTTCATCATTGTATTGATAATATATATGAGTGATAAAGAGACAATAGTGACACATGATACGAGATGATCAATAACTTTTGATATTTACATGTAGTAATCGTAATTTTATTAATTGGGTACGCTATACTAGCTTTTCTTGAAATTCGAGAAAAAAAATAAATTGAACTCCACAAGTTTAGCATACATTAGATTCTTTTAAATTTTTAATTCACATAATACTTGTGGTTATTTTTTCATCCGTAATTTGTTAATGGTATAAATAAAAAAATGAAATTGTCATATTTTTTTGGGATCTTGCTAACAAGTATCCCTAGGACATAAGTAAAAGATAAAAAAATTAAATGACACAAAACATTTTTTTACTAAATTCAATGCACTTTTATTAAAATTAATACACTTTTTAACATTTTTATATATTTTTAAGACACTTTTTACACACTTCTCAACATTAAACAATGTC